AAATTTGATACAACTAAATTTAAGACTTTTTAAGACCCCACGGAATCCCTGGTAAATTATGCAAGGACAGGCATGTTTAGAAAAATTACCAGGGAAACATGGACTCGAGACTGTAGAGTCTCCTTTGGGTGACTGATCTAGTTCCTCCAGAAGAGAAATAGCACCCTGAAGGTTGCAGGCTTTGAAGATGCTGGTGAAGCCATGCTCTACTGGACCGCAGGTTTGGTCTCCATGCTGGGCAAACATCTGCAGCTCCAACTGAGAGAGTACGATGGAAAAAAGAGAGAGAGAACGACAGAACTAACATATATCTGTGTACATCATGGGGTGTTTCTCTAATATGTGTGCATGTCTCACCAAGAACTGTCTGCTTGTTGAAGCCTCTGTCTCCAGACCTTTAACCGAACTGCACAACATGTTCACCTGCGTGAGGAGCTGCACGTGCTGCAGGATAAACAACACAGCTATTGAAAAAAAACCAAACTTCTCTTAAAAGACATAAAGAACCTAATAATGAAAAGTCAAAGGAGAAACTAATTTGAGAAAAGTTAGCACTTCTTTAAATTGACCAAATGAAAGCATCAGTCGTTCTAGACCTGCTGGATCTGCTGCTGTAGCTGTAGCTTCTGAGCTGTGTTCATGGTCAAGGATGTTATGGGGCTGGAGGGGCGTTGAGGGCAGGGTGGAGGTACTGACACTCCTTTACTCTCCAACAGAGCTTTCCGTTTCTTCACTGCCGCCAGCTGCTCCCGCACTGTACGATATCGCTGCTTCAAGACATCTGCTAATGGATCCTCATACCTAAACACAGTAAACATTTCACCTTAAAGTGCAATTGTATATCAGTTGTATACATGATGTGATGGTTGTGAAATTACAGATGGACATACTGAATATTGTCCAGATTGCCAGGTGGCTCCTGCAGGGGACTTTCCTCTTCCTCTTTTTCCTCTTCTTCCTCATGTCCTTCTTCTTCCTGACCCCCTAATTCATCCTGAAACTACAGGTGATGGAGACACATGTTCTAAGTAAAGATTGGTCTTGACAGTTGAACTACTTTTGACAAGCAATTTTTCCCAAATTCTGTGTTTTCTTTTTTCATTTTCCTGGATTCTGTTTTAATGGATTATTTACATATCAAAAAGGGTGTCTGATCAGTTGAATTCATAAAGCATTTTAATAATTTATTCAAATTGTAAAAATAATAATGCTCTATGAATTGTGTTTTGTGTTTTTTTT